TTTGAATTTCTTTTCTTTTTCTGTATATAAATTATATATAACAAATTAATTCAATTAGCTCATTAATTGAATTTGAATTTTTTCATATGTTTTCATCGAAAAAATTTCTTTTATGGGATTAAAATTTATTATATAATTTGAATGAGAAATTCATCAAGACGATTCATATATCACCCAATATTTATATAAACAAGTAAAAAATCGATAATGTTTCGATACAAAGAGATAAATTCAATTTCCTTACGATTAATAAGTAAAATTAATTGCTATCGTTAAAACTAATATTATCGATGATTGCTCCTTCCTAGAATAGTGATCTTAATAGTTAAAGGATAATGTTAATAAAAAGCAAACATTTGTATATCATATATACATAGAACTTTATTTTTGATTGAGATTCAAACTTCGTCAGAATAAAAAGTTGAGTGGAAAATTATAAAACAGAAGCATTCAAAACTTACCATTTCAATTGTTGAATAATTCAAAAAAAAATTTCAATTTTAAATAAAAATTTTAGATCAAAAAAGATCAAGGATGTGGTCATGGTTTCATTTCACTATCAACGACATCCTACTGTTTCAGTCATGGAAAATCGATACTACATGGAGTAAGTAAGCAAGAAAAATTGCTACATATGAATTAAATTCATCACATGCATGTTTTCACTTATCACTGGTTTAACTCATTGTGATAAATTTCGAAAGTTAATAGTAATCATTTAAGGTTATGTGGACATATATAGTCCAATCATGGATTCAATTAATAATAATAATGGATAATGAAAAATTGAACAATCAAATCAATTTTCCAACATTAAGATAATAAACACTATTGGACTTTTTTTTAATAAGATATGAACTTTGTCAAGATTATAAACAAAAACTTAAAATTTGCTCTTATTAGAAATGATCATCAGTTGTATTGGAATTTATTTGCTTGGCTTATTTTTTGAAGCAATCAAATTGGTACGAAAAAAATTTAATTCAACACTTTCGAAATCATCGTTAAGAACAGACAACACAACGTAAGTTAAGCCTGTTTCATTCCTGCACGCCATTTTAAA